GAGGCTCGGGTCCAATCTTCCGCGAAGAGGGCGAGCCAGAACTCGCTTGTGAGGTGGGAGAGGCTGTGGATCTCGGCTGGGTTCTGCAGGGCCAGCCGCTGGAATGCTCGAATCTTGTCTCGGAGGTCTGCTTGCACTCCATCTCCTCCCCTACCTGGTCCTCCTCCTCCTCCTGGGGGTCCGCGACCTCGTCCTCCGCCTCGGGCTCCTGGTTGGGACGCCTGGCTGCCGCTGCCCTCGCCGATGTTGCCCTGCTTCTGCGGGCGAGGCTCGTCCACTGCTCCTCCTGATGGCGGCGGGTGCTTGACTCGCCACTCCATCGTCCCGTCCTCGGCCTCTCACGCTGTGTGCAACTCCGCCATTGGCCGCTCGGATCTGGTCTGTGCCCGCGAGGTTCTCTCGTATGTGCGCCTGATACTCCTCGAGTGTTTGAGCCTGATGGGTACAGATCCGACATGTTAGTGTCCTGGGTTCTTGTATGGGGTGGGCCCACTTGGACCTGTCCTGGTGGCATATCCCGTGCTTATGGACCCATCTCGTAGCATGGTCGATCGTTGTTTTCCGATCTGCGAGCGTACTCTTACACCACGGGCACTAGTTGTCGACGATGACTACTGCGACCTCTGATTTCCGGAAGCCTCCTGTTCCCCCGTGTCACAACTAATCGGGAGGAGCCAAAGGCAGCAGCGAGCATTGCACCGTGCTCCTTGGGGTAGTAGCGGGACCAGCTCTGGTACCACTTTAGTCGTCGTACCTTTAGTGATACACTTGAGCGTTCCATCCGCCAGTATCTGAATATTTGTCGTAGGTTTTTGCAGCGTATGGTTCCATCCTCCTTCTCCCAAGACACAGCTCTACCTGTCAGTGTACTTACGTATTTGCCTAGTGCACTGTCCAGCACATTGGTGTGTGCAGTGGTTATATCGAATGCCGTTAGTCCGCTGGGGGCCGCACCTATGCCGAACGCCATGTACATGAGTCGTTTGATCTGTCGTGGAACTGAGTAGTAGGCGTGTAGTATCCGCTTGCCCAGCATGCCGTCCTTAGAGTGTTCTTTTTTGTTTGCTGGAAATGCTTGTGAGCGATGCCCATCTGACGGCGTGACCTGGCAGCTGCGGCGTGGTAGTAGGAGCTGGTCGAGGCAGCGCTTGTACGTGTGCTGGAGCTCCTGCATCCTCGGCGCATCTAGTCCAGCATAAGTGCCCCTGTCCACTCCGTATGACCTTTGTTTTCACATTTCTACACAGTTGTCGTCGTCCATTGGCCCTTCTGCCTTGCCCAATGCTGTACCCATAGTCCACTCCATTTTCAGTAGTAACTCTCCCCCTTTTTTGAATTTGCCCAGGTTAGTGTAGTGCTCTAAGTCCTCCTCGTCTCCTCTCGTTTCAGCTGCTGCTGTCCTGCGGAGCTCGAGCTGGTGTGACTCGTCGGTGGCGCTCCCAAGATGGAGGGCGGGGCCGAGTCGGAGCCAGGCCACTTCTGTGGGTATCCCCCGTCCTGGCCATCCTCTTCTTGTGCACGCTCGTTGACCACATCGTAACCTCGCCCTTTCGTCGTCGTCGACCTGCCCCTGCAGCTCGGTATCCGTCGGCGGCCGCTCGGTGGTGCCGGAAACAGGCCGTGCGTGCTCCGCTCGTGTCTCGACCCGGTCGATCGGTTGGGCACCGAGTCCTCCCTCGAGCGCTGGTCGTCCCGGCTCTTGTTTTGGGTCGGGCCTGTCCCCCTACACGGGGATTATGGACGAAAAATACAAATACCCCAAAAATATTCGAAAGATGCCCCAAAATACTCAAAAGACAGTCCCCAGACTATTTTTTGACTATTTTCGAATATTCCCCCTGCAGAGGGACAGGCCAGACTTAACTCTAGTTGCCAGTATTCTTTAGGCCAGCTTGTTTTGGGGGTAAGGTAGTATCGCTTCTTCGGGCCTCGGCTGTTTCGTTCATGTTGTATCCTCAGTCGGTGCACTTCTGCGAAGTTCCAACGCTCGTAGACCTCCCAAATGCGTTCTGCCAGCTTGGCCCTCCTCTCCTCCTCCACCCGTTTTCTGGCTTGCTTGAGTGCAGCGCTGATTTCTTTGAGCTCAGCTTCTACTTCGTCGTATTCTTCGGTCGTGGCTTCGTCGGTGAGTCGTTGTCGTAAGTCTCTTCGTCGTCGTAGTAGCTGTAGTCGAGTCGCTTTTGCTTTCTTAGTTAGTTCATCTACCTCGTCCTGTCCCTTGTTCTTCACAGGCGTCGTAAGCATGGCCTGCCGTACTGACCCCCCTAGTTGGTCCCAAGTGGTATCCGGGGTCGGTTCGCTGAGCGCCTCCTCCCACTTACCCCTCCCCACTGCTTCTATCTCCTGGTCGAGAGTGACGAGGAGTTGCTCCCGCTTGTGTCCGCTGCGGGGGCACTCCATGAGGCCGTCTCTGCACAGCCCCTGTTGTATGCGGGGGCGAGTTGGGAAGGAGGAGGTGGCGGTCGATGCTTGTAGCGTGAGGCCGATGGGTAGATGGTCTCTGTGTCCTCGCGCTGTTATCTTTTGGAGTCGCTTGTCTGAGAGGTGTAGTGCCGCGCATTGTTTTACAAGCCCTAGTGCACCAGTCGGTATGGCTATGTGATCCACTCTGCTGGTATTTCCCGAGTGTCCGTAGTACGTCGGTCATACGTTGTGGTGGGTGGTGACTACATTGAGGTCGCTTGTCTGGCAAAGGTTTCTGTAGCTGGTGCCGTTGGCATTCTCTATCTCAGGTTGCTGCCTACCTATGGTAGGACCTTTGCTGCATACTATTGTGCCATCGTGTTCGCGCTGGCACCCTAAATCACTGTTCACATCTCCTCCCAGGACCACTGTTGTGCGACACCCTAGCTTGTCAATACGTTGCTCCAACCACCTAGTTATGCTGTCTGCCAGTGTTGCTTAGTATGGGACGTATGTAGGAGCACAGTAGTACACGAAGAGGGAGTAGTCATATCCCATGGTAGCTATGTGGACTCCTTCAAACCCGTCCCTAGAGGAACGCTGGTGGGATGTAGATCTCTCGGATCGCTCTCTCGTTTATCCTGTTGCTTATCAGTATGGCAGCCCCGCAACTCTTGTTGACTCATTTGCTCTTTCGTGCCCCAACTGTAGTACAACGTGTGAGGGTAAGTCTATACGCGGTACGGCCTCCAGTCCTGTCCATCTGAACGTGCCACAACGCAATACTATGTCCCAGCTGTGTAGTTCCGTACTTCTGTCTTCGAGGCGCTCGTTGTTGCCCGCTTGACAGCGAGTTGTAATAGCAGATCCTCATCCTAGGCCAGGTCACACGGTCGTCGCCATGAGTGCTCCCCAGTCCCCTTTGCCCCCGAGGCTTGCGGGTGGAGGGCGCAAAGTCGCTACCGTACGATTGTGCATGAGGTACGGTCGGTATGCTTTTGACCCCTCAAACAGCGACCTAGGAGGAGGAGGATGAGGAGGAGGAGGAGGAGGAGGAGGAGGAGGAGGAGGAGAACGAGGAGGACGCGTTGCCCGCTGTTCTCCGCAGGGATATTGCAGCGGGGAATCCCCGTTCCACGCTGCTGCCTCTGATTGTCTGTTTGTTTGTTTGTCGGTTTTTATTGTTGCTTGTTTTTCGAGGATGTTGGACGCTTGGAAGGGCTCAAGGGGGGCTCCGAGAGCACTTACAGCCGCCTTGTGGTCCTCTTTGGGCCTCTTGCAGGCATCGTCTGTCTTGAGCCATCTTGTGGGCCATCTTTGAAGCATGGGGGCCCTCTTGGAGCCATCTTGGGGGCTCTGACCACTCCGTCTGGGGCCCGGATAGCCAGGGAGCAGTGGGGGAGAGGGTGCCCGGCCCCCGAAGGCTAAGAGGGCTTCGGAGGAGGGAAGAGAAACAGCGCTGGACCATCTACGCCCCGAGGGCCCACATCCAAGAAATCCGCGCGGAGCGCCAAAAGTTTCTGTTTATGCAGTTTTTTCCAGGAAAGACGAAAACCCAGAGCACGTGTGACCATCGGGGGAATCCTGGGATTCGTGTCTCTCTGTTTGTGTGTCCCTGGGCCCCTTGAGGGCAGCTTCCTCGACGGCCGAGCACTCCCAGCCTTGGAGTGGCACCTCGCCGTCGGCGCCTCAGAGGTCTGACCTGCAGGGGGCCAGGTCTCGTTTTTTTTTTTTTTTGTTCTCTCTCTCTCTCTCTCTCTCCTGGCGGACGCCGGAGGAGCCCGGCCGTCGAGAGTCGACGGGAGGGGGGCGCGCGGGCGGCCCTCGGCACGGGGAGCCGGCGTGCCAAGAGGGTGCAGCAAGGAGGCGCAGGGCGGTGGAGGGCGGTCCATGGAGAGGAAGCGTGCTGCCAAATCGTTTTCCAGATGTCTAAGCCATGTTTCAAACCTTTTCAAACATGTAAAACGCGTGCTTGACGCATTCTTAGAACACGATTTTGCACATATTTTAAGCACATCTTGAGTTCAATGATAGGATTGTTGGAGTGTCCCTTTTCGTGGCATCCACAAGCATAGGGCTCACGCGTACAGTTGGGGCGTTGGGGAGGGGCTCGGTGTTCCTTGATCGTTTTGCAGTTTGCCTTGGGGTTTCCTAAGGATTTCCATGCGAAATCGAAGTTTAACTTATGTGGCAACGGGGCCTCGTTCCTTATTTAGGGTTCCTTAGGTCAACGCCCCGAGTGTATTTGCCCAACCTCGCCCCCCGCCGCGCCGGTAGGAGCGCTGCTCTCTGGGCGCTCAGGCCCCAGCCCGCGGCACCTGCGGGGGTGCGCCGTGCGGGCCGCGGTCGCAGTCGCAGTCGCCCCCCCGCCGCGCGCGCCACGGGCCCTGCCAATGTTGAGTCGGGCGTGTGCCTCCACAGGTGGACTTTTCAAAAATCGTAAAAAACTAGTCTGGGGACTATGTCTTTCGGTATTTTTTGACCCTTTGGGGGTATTTTTTGACTATTTCTAATTTTTCGTCCAAGATCCCCCTGTAGGAGGACAGGCCCGGCTTCATGCCAACGTCCTCACGCGCCCTCGCCTTGGCCGTGGCCAGCGGATCCCGGACCTGTACCGCGACGACGCCGACCCGGGGTACCGGATGCGCGAGGCGCCCGCCCGCGATGCCCAGGAGAGCGCGAGCTTTAGCCGTGCTGTGCGAGAGGCGTGGGAGTCATCTTTCGGGTATAGCCAGGACCCCAGGTAAGGGGACCCGGTTAGTGGAAGGGCCCAGGGGCCCCTCAATTGGCCAGATTCACTAAACCAGGTTTGCCGTGACTGGTGTTTTTCGGGTGATGGCAGTTCCGGTTAGTGGAAATGGGACGGGGGGGCGCCCCCGGTACAAATCCCTAAACCAGGTTCCACTAAACCCAGTTCTGCCAACGCTCGAATCTTAAGCATGAGTTGCTGTCTTTTCCCGGTTATTGACATTGTCTATTGCTTATTGGTACTTGATTTTGATTACTACTTTCGCTGATAGGCGCCAGTAGTCACTTCTAGGCGCTAATAGGCGCGGATAGACACTAAGTAGGTGCTACTAGGGGCATTGATAGACAGTCATAGGCGCCAATAGGGCGGAATCTGTTTGAAAGTCACTCCTTCGCAATACACCCAATTGGCTGGCGCGCTCCAGAAAGGTCCTTGCCTTCGATGATCGAAGGTGACGGCACTTCCTCGGCGGAAGGCAGTGGAAGGTCGACCGGAGGCCGGCGGAGGCAAAACGCGGCCGCCTCCGCCAGCGGAAGGCTGGCGGGAGCCTGGCGGAAGTAAAAGCTGCAGCCCGAAGAGATGGCTATTTTTTGGGGGCTCAGGGGTTCCGGCATCCGCCAGCTGTGCAGCAGCACCTGTCCTTTCGGGGGCGGAAAAGAGGGGGGTGATGACTAGGGGTGGGTGGATATCATGGCGCGGGCCATGATTTCTCCCCAGATTTCGTGGCGCCTCTTCTTGTTCCATTACGTCCCTGGCCCCCCCGCTGGGCCGCGCACATGCCGCCGGTCATAATTTGCACCCCCCCCTCCTGGACACCCCCCTCTTGGCCGCTCCCGATCCTTGCCAGGCGCACGTCTTGAGCCCAGGATCGGCGTGTGCGCCCTCCTGGCCCGGGCAGCACACCAAATGCAGCGAGCTGGGGCCCGGGACGGGCCTGGCCAGGAGCGGTGCAGCTGTGTAGTTGGTGCCCTTCCGAGTCCAGCTCTCCGCCCTCCTCCCTGCCCCGAACCCGTCTCGGGACCCCGGCCGCGCCCCCCCGCTCCTCGCTCCCTCTCAACTCTTCCTCTTCTTCTTCTTCTTCTTCTTCTTCCCCCCCTTTTTATTAAGGTCCAGGTCAGCCATGGCACGCGTCCGCAGACAGGCGAGGCTAGCGCAGCGGGGATGGCTGGGAGGGAGGGATCGGATGTCAGACAGTGCGCGAGCACACCCAGCTTGTGTTCCCTCCGCCCTCTCCCCGCTCATCCGTGCCCCTCTCCTCTCTCCCTCCCTCCCTCCCATCCGGGGGGGGGATAACGCGCATCAGTAACCAGCGCGCCGTCTCTCAAGCTGTATCGCGCACATGCCGCCGGTCATGATTTGCACCCCCCCCTCTTGGACACCCCCCTCTTGGCGGCTCCCGACGTTAGCCCACCCCGCCCAGGAAGGTGCGGCTCAGCAGTCGGGGGCCCACCGCCGATCTGTCGGCGATGCGTCGCCGATTTTAGGTCGATGCTCCCCCCCTGAGCCAAGCCGGTCCCCTCCCCATCGTTCTTCCTCGCTGGGGGATGGTCGGAGGGCACCAACTCTCCACCCACTCTTGAGTCGGGCCTGTCCCTTTACAGAGGGGGAATCTTTAAGAACAGTACATGGATAGTCTGGGGACTATTTTTTGCCCATTTGGGGGTATTTTTGAGTATGTTTTATTTCTCGTTGAAAATCTCCCTAAACCAAAACCTATGTTTGTTTCGTCGAAAATCCCCCTAAACCGAACATCCGACGAAGGCATCTATACACCACCACCGTGCCAGGCCAGGGCCATCCTGGGCCCCAGGATGGTGTATAGGCCCTCTCGGCCTCGGCCAGGAGGGCGTATACACCATCCCGGGGCCCAGGATGGCCCTGCCTTGGCACGGTGGTGGTGTATAGACGCCCTCTGCGAAGAACACAATTCGAGAGTACTTTGTGTTGTTCGTCGACAGGCCCGACCCAAACCTGCCCCGATCCTGGCCGGGGTCGCGCACGCTCTCCCAGCAGCGGGGCTCGGGGCAGGCCCGGGGGCCGGCGGGGCGCCTCGGGCGCCCCCCCGAGAGGTGCTGGAGTCGGAGCTCACGGCCGCGCTGCGGGACGCCCGCGGGCGGGCGCGGCCGCTCCTCTCCGCGCCGCCCTCCACCTCCTCCACCACCTCACCACCTCCTCTCCTCCTCCTCCTCCTCCTCCATCCTCCTCCTCCCTCCTCCTCCTCCTCCTCCTCCTCCTCCTCCTCCTCCTCCTCCTCCTCCTCCTCCCACATGCGAACCCTGCCCCTACCCCCCACGATTTCTGAGGGGGAGGGTGGGGTTCACTTCCACTTCGTTCGGGAGGTCACGAGC